GTCTTTATTTGCCACCCTGTTAGTAAGTAAGACGCTCACACTAACAGTGATGCGAGCACCTGTAAGTAAAGCTGGTGGTAGCTTTGTAGGTCTGCTGCAGTTCATGACTAGAATCCCGGTTGCATTTTCTTGCAAGCGCATTGCGAGACATTTAATTTAACCTATGATTTAAGATTGTTCATTCTTGCCGTTCTCGTCCGAAGAAGTAATTTGGGTAACTGATTTGATATTTGCTGGGCTGACAACTGGGATCCCCTACTTCATACATAGGGTTCTTGATTCATACAGTAACATCTCATAATGTACGACGCGACTCAATCTTTACTTTTAATCGACTATAGGCCTTTTCATCAATTATAAATATAGTACTATACTATTTATATACTATATCTCATGATAGAACTTAAGAAAACACATTAAAAGTTTGGCAGAATAGTGCATACTCTAGGCTGAGCAGTTTTATTGCGGGCATTGATTATTACTTTCAAATGCAACGAATGAGTGGCACAGGAGATAGAATATGTGGAACAGGGACAAAAACCTCTAACGGTAACGCAAATGCGCAAGCAATTGAAGAGCTGTATACCTCATCAGAACCATTTGCGAGAACTCGGCGGTTTCTGTGGGATTCGAATACACGTCTGCAAAGACGGGGTTTAAGCTCAGTCAACGCTCTAATCACGTGAGCCTTGGGGTTATTCACCATTGGGCCAAATTACCCACCCAGCCTACTGCAACATAAGGGATCCACCAAGACTGATAAAGAAAGTCTTGCTCTCGTGATTTGAAATCCCGCCGAGGCCGCAGATTGTTTCACCATTGAGTAAAAACGAATGAGTTTAATATGGCAACATGCCTGTTAAATATATATCTCTCCATAATAACGGAAAATACAACACGGTGATCCCGCTTTGTGGTGGATAGGACCTCATGTTGAGATCTCACTCTAGAGATTTCGTGGTGTCCTTAATGCTAAACAGCGCAGCATTGATGGGTCGCTAGAATCATTCCGGAAATTTTTTTCAGGCTTAAGAGGCTTGATCTCCTGTATAGCTCTCTGTCGCAAACCATTAACCGCAACAATGGACCAAGCTTATCTTTCGCTAGCTTCAGACAGCTGCCCAAACATGGATAATTTTCCATCACCTCGCGCAGTCAGGATAATTGTTCCAGTTCGAAATTGTTTGTTCTTCAAAATAAAAATCCAGATTTTTCCGCTGAACCTGTGACGCCAGTCTACATAGCTTTACTCATTTGGGAAAAACGGTACACGCCTCCTTGCGAAGTCCCATCAAAGCGGTTTTTATGACTTCATTTCTGTCACATAATATCTTGTTAAATTTTTGTCTTGGACATGCGGTTGTTTATAATCCTTCTCACAACATGAACAAATGCCTGTAATCCACTTTTATGTTACGAAACGAGTGAGATTGCGAACTGATTACAACGCATGTCGATGCTCTCATACAATCTTAAACCATTGTTATCATTAGAAAACGGCTATTCTAGACCTCTGATAATCACTCCTTGTTTCCCGTAACACTGATGCTGCGTTCACCTAAACATTTGGCCATTCAATAGTTCGATTAACCTGCCTTTCATATACTGATCATCTGCCACACCTTTTTCTCTGCTTCGAATAGTTATGTGCAACACCGAACGAAGCCTCGTTCCCTTAATTTTTAGAAAGCCGTGCAGTAGACCTAATTTATAATCCCTGGTGTAGTATTATCGCTCTTCCCCTTAATGTACGGCATCTAGGGTGATCCAGACGGTCAACTGGCAGAGGAACATTATTTAGGCAATCATACTATGTAATTCACCCGTAGTCGTCAACCATGACTGGCTTTATCAGTTAGATTTATCCCTTGAGTGATGAGTGCGGGTCATGGTCTGCTCGTGTTAAGTGAAATGCAAAGACCTTTAACCGGATTTTCCTTATCTCTCAGTCTGGCATAAAAGTAAGTTAGGATTGGAGTGTTGTTGTTGCTGTTGTTAGCGGGCCCGTGGATGTCGGGCACATCCAAAGAAGTCGGGAGTTAGAACTAGCGTACGCAGGTCCAGCTTTTATAGCTGCCAAAAAGAACTATCTGTCCATCGAATTCCACAGTAGAATCGGAGGCGCTAAAAGGATAAGCGAGTCACCAAGATCAAATTGTCGTTGTTTTATCGATTTCTGTGTTGCGAGGTGTTGTATGTTTAGAGGTTGCAGCGGTTTGATAGGCAGAAGC